AAAGAGAAGTAACCCAGGGACATGAAGCAAGAGGGGGCGGGGGGGGGGGGAGCCTGACCTTAAACTTGCGCATGGACTGGTAGAGGCGGCCCAGGTTGCCGTAGTGCTTGGCCGTCTGGACATTGAACTCCCCGAAAGCCTTTTTGGCCAGCTGCAGGGAGGAGAGGTGCAGGTCATGGGCCTCCTGGAGAAGCCGTTCTTCAGTCTCCTTGTTGTGACAGTCGATGGCGATCTCTTCGAGGATCAGGGCTGGAGGACGGACACACACACACACATAGTCAATCCCCAGGAACCTAGAACCGCCAGCATTATATCCACCCACATATCCACTCCATGCAACCTCAGCCACCATCTGTTTCCAGAATAGCTCTTTGGCTGTAAGCCAGAAGCAGCAATAAACACACACACACACCAAAAAAAAAAAAGACTTAATGTAAGCAGGCGCATTAAAACACTCTCCGCCTTTTCAGCTTCCCCCTCTGTAGCTACAGCTCTCATCGGGGCGCGTCACACGGCCAAAAATACAGCGGCAGGCTGGCGATTCACTGCCTACCTTTCACCCTTTTGGACGATGCGAGCAGCAGATGGTCTTCGGGCAGGATGTGAGTGATGATGTCTATGGCACGCTCTGCGTGGAATCTGCCAGAACAGACCCAGAACATACCAGCTGAGTGACACCACTGCATTGCTGTCACGTAAACAGGGACTGCCTCTAACATACCAAGCCCCGATTACAATATTCCTGTAATCCAGCACAGAAAACAACCCAGTTAAAGAACAATCCTGTCCAAAGATTAAGCGGGGGGGGGGGGGAGTTAATATGTAAGCCAAGCATTTATTCAGAAAATGTAGTAACTGTAAGTTCCAGTGTTTAAACAAAGTGTTGTTAATCATGTTTGCCCAGAAAACAAACCAACAAATTGTTACAATGAGGGCAACTTTGGCCAAAGATTGAGAATAACATGTCACCTTTTAGAAAAATCTACATCTAATCAACAGCTCCCAGAATAGAAACAGGGTACTTACAGTGCATTGTCGAATTTACCAGAGCTGTACTGGTGCACATAAGAGGAGTACGCTAGGTCTTCGTGTGCAGTTGCTACGTGGATGTTCTTCCCCCCAAACACAGACTGCCGGATATCTAGAGCCGTCTGCAAGTTCAGGACCCGCGTTCAGTTACACATGCTTAGCATCGACGCGGCGATTCAAGTGCCGTCGCACAGACTCACCTGATAGATCGCCACAGACTGACAGATGTTATCTACGTTTAACAAGTAAAAGCCATAATCTAGCAGAGTGTCCGAATACTTTGGGTGTTTGTTCCCAAAGTGCTCCCTGTAACCCAAGAGGGAGAATGCGGTCAGCAATGAATAATTGTAAGCGTTTCCAGGAGGGTGAAAACAAAAACCAAAAGGAATTCCGTCATACCGCGCAAGAAACACGGCGTGTTTTATCAGCTGTTCCGCTTTCCTGAATTCTCGCTTCACCACGCAGGCCTGGAGTAAAAATTGAACAGATGTTAAAACCTGACACTTGGATGATTGGGGGGGTGGGGGGGAATGGTGGTCACAAGACACACCCGGAACACACGCGGGGCTGACTGGAGCTCATCCTCCTCGGTTGGCTATCAGGAGGACATGCTCTTCCTTTGGGGTCCGGCGGACGGCAGGCTGACCATCACAGACCGGGCCGTCGGTGAAAACAAATGCGAATGCCAGCGAGGGTCAGGCAGCGAAACGGCAATACGGTCCCCACGGACAACACGGAGTACAGACACCGAGGCAAGATTCCCAGAAATGCAGTTTTAGGAACTATTCCATTGCGGATAACGGTAAAAGGTTATAAATAAATATCTGTGATGTGAAAAACAGCTTGCAGAATGGTAAGGAGTCACAACAACCACCCCCCAGTTAATTTTATCAATGGCAATCTTGTTTATTTGAAAAAGAAACATGTCAGTAGAAACAGTCAGTAATCAGGCAAAACCACTTCTCTTCTTTTCTGATGACATGGACGTCCCAGGAACTGACCACCGTGATTCATTCATTCGAGCAAAAAAGACCTAAAGTATAGTTTTCTTTCGGCTTCTGGTCCAACAACTGCCCTTTAAACTTTAGGAACCATGATGGGATGAACCACCATTACCTTAGATGCTTGTCTCAGGACGTCCACCACCACTTTGACAGGAAGGCCGACCGTGATCTCCCGCATGGCATCTATACACCACCGATACGCCTAAAGGCAATGAACGGAACAGGTTCTCTGTAGGGTTAGGCGATACGGACCGAAAAAGCACATCTCTGTATATGCGGGTAGAATAGCGATACAATATACATCTCAGTATCTTGTAGGAAGTGGGCTAAATGATCAGGTTTGAAGAAAAACCATGCGAGACGTTGGAAACACTTTAAAACAGAGTGTGATCAAAACGAAAAGCAAAAACATGGGTTTCAGTACAGACATTTTCTTTATCCCAAACAGAAGTCTCAAAACATAGAAAAATAAATTATGTCAATATCCGTGTTGCATGGGTCCAGGAAGGAATACTATTGGTCCGCATTAAAAATCTTGAATAGAGCCCTAATTTCAACACAGTATAAAAGTATATCACTAAATGTTATTGCATCACCCTATATCCCATTTTGAAAACAACAATATACGGTACAAATTAAATATACGACCCAGCCATAGTCTTCTCTGGTATTGCTACATTTTGTCATAAAAAAACAAAACAAACAAGGCTTGTTGCGAAATACTTGGGTACCTCGTCGTAGTGGCTCTTTGCGAAGAGCAGGGCACAGAGCTCCCCATAAAGCGCGGCCTTGTTGGCCTGGTGCCCATGCTTTGCCAGCTTGTCCATATAAGACTGGGCCAGCTTGAAGGTCTCCTCCCCCAGGTGGTACCTGCAGTTGCCGTTGCGCACATGCAGTAACCTACGGGGCAAGAACCAAAGCCGAGTCAACTTTAAACATCCAGTGCGTCAAATGGCTGAAGACTCAAAGACTGGGGCTGAAATGTCAGACAGTAATAGCTTTTCCAGTGAATCTTAGAACATGGTATTTAATCAAAGTCCAGTTCCTTAACCTCTGGACGATATGCTAGGATGTTCTTTTCCAATTATATCTGCAGATACTCACACCAGCCAATGAGAAGTATTGCACAATCGACCAAATCGCAGCTCCCAGAAGGGGCTCCGTTTAGGGCGACGGGGGGCTCACCTCACGCAGCATTCCACGGCCCGGTACCAGTGCAAGACTTCATCGTGCAGGGTGCAGAGCTGCAGGCAGGATAGGAACACTCGCTCGGCGTCACCATACCAGCCCGCGTCTGACAGGAAGCCACCTAGAGGCCAGGGGGGGGTACCAGGATCAATCTGAGCTCTAAACCCCCCACCCCTCCCCAAACACACGCACATTCAAAGCCCACCTAAAACAAAGCCAAACTGAATGGCCTTCTCCTTGACATGTGCATCGGACTCCGAGATATAGGAGCAGCGGCGGCTAAAAGAGTTAGCCAGTACCGAGGCCACCTTTACTCCGTGGTCCATGAGGGCCTGGAAACAGTGGTGCAGGAGATGCCTACAAATGCAAGGAAACCACATGTCACAGCTGCTACAACTCCAATTACAACTATGAGTTGGCCAAGTGCTTAATAAAGAAAAACTGTTATAGTCAACCACGCAATGCTGGTAACAGCAAGCAGTCTTACGCTGGACAGTAAAATTTAGAACCACTGCACAAGAAGACGCCTCTACAGGAGGGAGGCATTACCAACACATCACATGAGAGAGGACGTCCGCCAGGGAGTTTGACTGCGGGCGCCGCGGCCCGACCGGCACGCCCGCTCGAAAGCGGACAGCCTGTGCTCACTACCTTTTATCCGATGCCCGGAGGACCTTCGCGAACACCTCCAGTTCACAGAACTCCCCTCCGAGTTGGCAAAGCCTGCCCTGCTGGTACAGCTGAAAGACAGAATTACACAAAAATCAAATAGGAGGAAAGAAAAAAAAAAAGGGAGGAGGAGACAAACTGCAGAAAATGGAAACCGTCCACATAAGGCCAGGCGGGTGTGACAGGACCATCACGGGACAGGTGCTGAATAATCAGATAGCATGTTTCACGGTGACAAAGTCGCAGCATCCCAAAAGAACATAAATCACTGTCTTTGCGTGTTAAGGCAGTCAGGGGAGACTCCCTCATGTGTGCAGGCTGCACTCGCTCTGACACCCTCTTAAGAGATCCTATGACTGATGCAATGTCTCTAACATAAACATTACATTTAGGTTTTCTAGCCTGCTTACATGGGCAAAAAATCTGAGTAACGCTGAATACAAACTCCGTTTGACACTCGACAGCAAAAATAAACTCGCGGCTTCTTTGACTAAGATGTTTGACCAATTCACAGCACTTCTTTATCGTCTATCTTTTCAGTTACAGTGTGGCCAGGGCCAATGGCGAACAACTGATTAATTGGGGGGGGGGGGGATAAAACCACTTTCTCATTTATGCAAATCCAAAATTATGATTACCATTGTTTATGAATACACAGACTGGAATCTAAACACTGTTTATGATTTACCACTGAATATTAATCCAGTACCTCAAATGGGGTTTTGTGGTATATTTTGTGAAATCAGGGTAAAAAGTGGCCCTTGATCACTCAGGAAATCCCAACAACAAGAAGCGCTGATGCCTGACGTCTAGTCAAGTCTGCAGAACCGTAGTTACTTATTCGGTGCCGCTTCATGACCCTTTTAGAGTCTGGGCCCCAGTAAATAATCTCCCATAAAAGCAGTTCCGTTTTTAATCGACTAACAGAACAGGGATGGCCGTGATGGCGCGCGACTCCGAAGAAAAGGGGTTTAAACAAATCACACGTGTTGCCTTTCACGGAGTTTGGGGTGGGGGTCCTTGACACATTGTGCCCATCTTGACAATGTTACTCGGAACCCAAACTGTGCGATAATTAAACACAGCACCACCCAGATGACCTAAAGCACAGTACTGTCAGAGAATGAAATTCTTGTGGAACTACACTTATTTAACTTTTCTGCCAAAATGGTAGAGGGGAAAAAACATGACAGTAGTTAAAAACATTTGTTAAAAGGCCAGTTATTTATCCACGAAGAGCACGGCCATGGGAGTAGTATCTATTCTTTATAAAAATCACGGCTGTCAGCGAGCAAGATGGAGCTGGTGGGGAACCTTCGCTAAAACATAAAACAAGCGGAGCTCGCATTTCCCATCAGAACAGCTCCATATTCCCGAAGGGCCCAGGGCTTTAAATGACCTCGCTTTGTCACCAACCGTCATCCTTTATATATCAACGCGACCATAGCCTTGTCAATCATGGGGACGTGGGGAAACGGTGCAAGACTCGGCCACAAAGGCCGATCGGTTACTCTGGTCAGCCAGGATAACCAGCTAGAAAGGTAACCAGGTAGTCAGCTAGTTACCGATGCTGGGAAGCAACGGGACACTGGACGACTGGCCTGTTAGCAGTCGGCCGGTGTCCTTAAGCTAAGGATCGGCTAACACGCTTCATCGCCTGCCACAGTCAGACGCGGTTAGCTGGCTAGTCCAGATACCCAGGGTGGAAATACGAGTGAAACCAGCACCGGGACACCGGGCGAGCGTACGGCCATAACAAGCACTTTGTCACAGCATAAAACCAGGCGTTTTAATCGCATACCCCCCTCTTACCTTATAGTACACATCGAACTGTATGTTTTCCGGGAGGGAGCGGATGTCCCTTCGCGATCGGCCGTAATTGTCCACCACGGCCGATATAGCGGTGTTGTAGAGAGTCTCCGGGATCCACTCAAGCTCCACGGCGGCCATGTTGTTTTCCTTCTCTTAACCGAACAGCAGCCCCCCACCGCCTTTTACTGCCTTCGCTACCTTCCCGAGTCGAAAGCGCCCTTGCTACGACTCCTCATATAGAACGCGAAATCGCTTCGGAGTCATGGACGAAGAGGGAAACGCGTCATTTATGAGTCGCACACAAGCAGCCTTTTTCGCAGCCACATCGCTCGCCCTCACTGTCGTTCCTCTCGACCCCCCTCCCTTTTCCCCCAATATTCCTAAACGCCAGTCGACGCGATGACGTCAGTGCGCCGCTGCCCGAAACCTCCGCGCGGACCAGTAGTCTGTGTGGTCACGGGCAATAAGCGCTTCTGGTGGAGTCGCAATGAGTCCGTGTGTCACCTGAGTGTCGTAGCGCCTGTTATGAACCATACGCAGTCCTGGGCGTAGAAAACATCACGGTTCGCCTCGGATCTTTAACAATTACGGCGTATGCAGTACTACAAGATCATTTTATCCGCTATGTATTCTGTGGTGATATTTTGCATACATGCATTATCGAAGGGAGTATCGATAGCTCCTGCACTGTAAGTGAAACTAAACCCACTCCACTAATCGATTAAAAAGCTACAAACCTTTCAGGACAACTACTGTGCAGTGTGTCTATGATACAGTACGTACTGGAATATAAATATAATAATTGACTACTAAACTCTTTCTTTGGCAAGCGGACTGTTCATAATTGAGCAAGAAACTGGTAAAACCAATATCTGTTTCAGTGGTCACTGATTTGGCTGAAATAAAATAAGAGATAAGGTAAAGCTTTATTTATCCCAAGAGCAATTGCTGTGCCAAGGCAGATCCCTCCCCATACAAAATTAATTAGCTCAAAACTACCAAATATAAAGAGTACAATATGATACAAGAAATACAGTACAGTACAATATAAAATAAGGAATCCAAGTGCAATACAAATGGAATACAATACTAGTAAAATGCAAGTACAAAGACAAAATATGTAACTAAAGTCCAGTTATCCATCAACTCACCTTATGACTGTTTATTGATTGGAAGCACATAGTGTAAGGCACAGGAAGACCTAGAGACAATGTCGTTCCATCTTATCAGTAAAGCCTGTGTTATTTCCATCTCGTCGCCTTTATGTCTTCCTGATTCAGCATAGCAAACAGAGCCTAAGAGCTGTGCAGTACAGTGAGTGAACATTTTTAGATTGATGGTCTTTTTAAATGTTTTGTTGGGAGCATGTAGGATTATCTAATGTAATTTGTTACTTTATGATATGATCTAAGGAGGTCATGGAAGGTAAATTTATCTAACATTTTCCTCATAAAAAGCAGTACAATATTGGTCTATGCAGCTGTGTTTGATCATATCAGATTAATACTTTTATTTAAAAATACAGAAAGATGTGACAGACATGCAAAGCATATATGTACTCCCTGGGATGTACTCAAGGTTTACACAAACCTGTAAAGGATAAGTGGTCATGGAAAATAGATGGATTGTTAATTTGAGGACAGGATGGATGAGAAATGCTTTATACCTGTATACAGTTTTGTGGGTAGAATCTATAACTATAGATGAATGGACATATGTGGGGGAAAGAATTATCTGGGTATTCTGTGGTCCTAATAGTTCACTCCGATAGAAAAGGCCTATAGAAATACCTTCTAAATTACCATGTGTCACTGCCTTTCATAGAGACTGACACATACAGCATGTGGCTCAGTGGGCTAAGCCTGTGTGCTTGTAATCACAAGGTCACTGGTTCAAACATTAGCATGTCTGTGGCTCCTTGAGCAAGGCCCTTAACTTCCTGACTGCCCTTTACGGACAACTTACTCCACGAAAAGCAAGTTAAGGGAGGTGTAAAAACAACATCCCCACGGAGATTAATAAAGTATCGATTAAGAATGCCTATTCAGCCAACAAGTGCATATCTGATCATAGTCCACTTTGTAAAGGCATCGGTTAAAATGTGGCGTATGAAAATCATCAGATATCCACCTTGTGAAAGCGCTCGGAGAGAATCACGTGGCCAGACCAAGCACTGTTTTGCATCTGGATTTCATTTAGTTACACTGCCACATAGAATTTTTCGGAGTTTTCCTAGTATAACTCTGATTGCACAACTCTATTATATGGAGGGAGTTTCCTGACAATATTTAATAAATAAACATGTTATTTATATGATTCTTTATAAATATGTAATTTAAATGATTGGTTTATTAAAATCATTTAAATTGTCTTTTAAATTATTGTACCAGCGACAATTAAAATTCTGTCAGTCACCCATCACACTCAGTGGACGAGCTCTAAGCACAACCTAACATCTGATTGGTTACATTGCAAACTAAGTCACAACAGATCGATCTAGCCTAGTCGAATTCCCAGTTATAATCGTGTTTTGTCTATTCCTTCCTGGGGCCGTATTACGTCCTTACTTCCTAAATTCTTAAATAAACTCTCCTAACTTTAAGATATCAGCTAGGCTGACATAACTTTCACTGGCCACCACATAGTACGTGTTAGCTAAACTTATTTAATCCGTATTTAACTGCAATTGCACTTTATTCATTGTTTACTGCCAAATCAGGCATCAAATTCAGTATTGTCAGCTGTAAAATTCACCATTCTCTCACTGTGGATTTAATGATAAAACGGACCTGTGCAATATAATAAATATGTGCAATATCAGCCATTAAGGTTTACATCCCTCATTGCAATTGGTGTCCTGTCACTTTATTGCATTGTATTGTATTGAATCTGTTCCTGCACTTTGTTGTGTCATATGCTGCTGCATGTTGGTGTAAATGCTGCTAACTGCCTAGTGCAATTTTACATTGCTTAATACCAAAACATACGAAAGTTTACATTACCTTCTCACTGTTGTTGAATCTCTGCACTGTCTATTTATCTTTTTGTCTGTTTGCACCTTGCAATGTTGTGATGTTCAGTGTTACTACATGTTACTATATGTTGCACCAGAGCCATAGAGAAACGCTCTCATCACAGTTATATAAAGGTGCTGATGACATATATAAAGGTGCTGATGACAATAAAGTAACCTTGAACCCTGAATAACATAAGCGTCCTAACTTGCAGATCCTAACTTAACTGCTTGGTAACCATGGTAACTAGGGTTAGCACCGGATTTAGGAAAAAACATTACAGATGAACAGTTCTTAAGTGTTTGTTCCGAAGGGCACAGATTTGGGTACTGGCGGTAGGAAACATGTCCCTAGTAATATTGTGGGAGTGCCATGTGTGTTGAGGGGGGCGGGGGGTTCTAGGAGAGATTTGGTCCTTACCAATTTTGGACCAAAAGCAACGTCCTTGATTATGTCGGTTCTAACTTTACACAAGCTTCATAACTTCCCAAAATCTTAAATAAACTCCTCTAACTTTAGTGTTCTGTCTACCTATCGAGACATGCTTTCGAGCCTTTCTGCGCATGTGCAGTTCCACCGTTTTGGGATTAGGGTTAGGTTTTAGGGGTTAGGGTTAGGGTTAAGGTAAGGGTTTTAGGGAGTTAGGGTTAGTGCTATCTATTAGCACTACGGTAGCATTTTTCGACAAGGCAGCATATATCGACAGAACATTAGGATAACTACACAGTCCCGCTCGTAACATAAATAGAAAAAACATATATATCGTGGCCACGTTTTACTAATTCGTTCCCACAATACATTGAAATGTGGCCACGATATATATCATTTTAATTGTTATGTCATGAGCGAGACTCCGTACATTTCCCTGATTGTGTAAAAACAAAAACAGAGCAACCATACGGATTAAATACGCAATAGCCTATAACTAACGCTTTGTCTTGGCCAGTGAAAGTTAAATCAGCCTAGATGTTATCCTAAAGTTAGAAGAGTTTATTTAAAATTTTGGAAAGTAAGGATGTAAACCAGCCCCAGGACAGAACAGACAAAACGCGGTTAAAAATGAGAATTCAATTGACTAGGCGAGATCGATCTGTTGTGACTTAGTTTGCAATTAACCAATTAGATGTTAGGTTGTGTTTAGAGCCCGCCCACTGAGCTTGATGGGTGACTTTGACAGATTATTTTAATGATTCCTGATATAGTTTATATAATAATTTAATTTATTTAAATTAATTTATTGAATATTGTCACAAAACACCATGGTATCAGCTGTATCAGTTCAAACAGATATTTGCACAGGTAATGATTTTTGAAGGATTATTTTTTATCAAAATGACAGTGTGAGGCTAGGTCACTAATCCGTATTCTAGTGATGTCTGGGTTGAAAATGTTTAACAGAATTGCCTTTTAATCTTATCTAATTGTGTACATTATTATTTTGAAGAATCATCAATGCACATGCACGGTAATTACACAGTGTCATGCCTTATACGCTGCAAATAATGAGAAAAGAATATTAAAATTCTGACATTCACACGAAGCTTTTCTCAATTTGCGGTTGCATGGTAAAGCATTTAGTAAAGATTTTTTTTAGCAAATGCTTACAATTTTGGATGTGTACGTTTACTTCACAATTAACCGTTATCGGTACCAGCATGCATCGCTAGGTGGCGCGAAAGCGCGAGGCCGCGCTCAGTTGCTTGCGCTCTGACGTCAGTGCGTTCCTGAGCATGCCTACAAAGCGTCGAAAATAAACAAAAGACCAAGAGGGGGAGATTGGCTTGTGAGCCGCTAAAAACTTAGCAAAATAAAGTACAAACATATCTTGTGCGTCTGCTGCGTCTCATTAATTATTGGCAGAAATCCCGTTAATCATGGAAAACGTATTCTCGGTGCGCGTGAGTGTCTTTTCCGACCAGGGAGGAAGGAAATATATGGAGGATGTAACCGAGGTTATAGTGGAGCCGGAGCCGGGTGAAGATGAGCTTGATTCGGCCGAGCATGGCGAGGCGAAGCTGAACACTTGTGCATCTGTCGAGTGCACGCCGGTAAACGTAAGAGAGCCGAGCTCTTCGATCGGCACGTTTAACGAACCTCTGACCGGATCTGCACCCACCATTGATGCATGGACGCAAAGCAAGCAGGATGATACTGAAAGTTGTTCAGTTCCAGCAGCAACGGAACGGAACGGGGCGCCGGCTGGCGATGCTCGCCCCCGCCGGTCGGTGGCTTTTTTCGCTGTGTTTGACGGCCACGGGGGACGGGAGGCAGCTCAGTTTGCACGGGATCATCTCTGGGATTTTATAAAGAAACAGCGGGGATTTTGGTCGAAGGATGACGAGGAAGTGTGCGCGGCGATCCGCAAGGGTTTCATCGCTTGCCACCATGCCATGTGGAAGAAGCTACGTGAGTATTTAATTAGAAACTAAAAGATAATAAAACACGTTATAGTTTACTTTATCTCTGACATGTTCGGGTTAGATGCACAGCTCATCAAAGGACATTTGCAGTTAGTGAGTACACACTGATTGATTCAGTTGTACTAGTCACATTTTAATGTGCTAGATTTTTCCCAAAGTAATTGTTGTTTTAGCAACCATATAGCGCTTTGGTTTATTTGTCTAAGTGTTTGAAAGACGATACACAAAACTGGGGATCGTGTCCCATGCTCTCCTACCGTGTGTGCGAAAAGACTTTTACCCAAGTGCTAAGTTTTGTGCTGTAACTTGCCTTTTTAAACTTGGGCGCCAGATGAATGATACTCTGGGGCGGAAAAATTCCCGTGATCCCCCCCTTAAGCAACACCGGATACAGGGACTGCAGTATTTGGAAATCTTAACGCCCTAAAGTCAACAATCGTTGAATTTCGTTATTGTTAAGCGGGAAAAGCCTTTCCCATGCATTATGCCATAGCCGATCATATAGCTGCCTTGCTATGAGCTGACATTCTTCGTGACGTAGTTGCCCGCTCAAGGTACACGCGATCATTTGCCTAGCTCTGCGTTACTTCTCAAAAATGTATAGCTAGCTACACTCACTAAAACTGATTAAATGTAGTCATGCATCCCAACCTAGCGCAGAGACGTTCCTGTTGGTTTCAAATTGACGAACATCTTGCCGGGCCAATGGGACGTCTCGTTACAAATGCGTATAGGATTCCCACCAATCAGCTGTTGAGTCACAGCGCCGAACAGCTAGTGATATAGTACTTTCTAGAATGTGACGTCGACGATCGGGTCTGTTCTGGGTTGCTATCCAGAAATGGGTGCCTAAGTTGGCTATGGATGTCGCCACCTTCATTTTTGTTCGTGTAGTGGCGTTTAATACATGTATAACCTTCGTTGGACACTCATTTATTAAATAGTACAACCCTCCAGGAGTCAGCCCACTTTCTAAAGCTAAATGTATGATCAGTGGTGGCATGGTTTGGTTCGGTCTTCTGTGGGTTTGGATGTAGGCGCTCACCTGCAGTACATTTAACCGGTTTTGCGGCCGCGTTTTGTCTGGCGCGACGCGCCTTCGTAAACCCGTCGACGTGCGCCGCTTCCCGGGCTGCGTAAAGCCGCCCTTCGGTATCGGTACAGGCGGTTGTTTGGCGACCGCCTATCAAGCATCTGTTGATTCCCAGATGCTGAATGCTGACTGTAATCATAGGGTATCGGTGATCGCAGTCGTTTCAGCTGATTACTGCAGACCATCTCCCACGGTCCCTCCCTGTTCATGCCCAGACTTGCCTTGACTGGGTTCTTGCGTAGCAAACGAGCCTCCAAAGGTCACCCTACAGCTCTGATCAACTGTCCTGTCAAAGGTTGCAGTTGCCTGCCGCCGGCTCACCCTTTCATTAACAGGGTTCGCTATGAAATTTAAGTTTTTATTTTTATCCAAGTATAGAGGATGTGAAACTGAAGTCTACTATGTGTCTGAATTCTTGAATTTGCCATTTGTGTAGCATTAAGTACGAAGGGGCTTCAAAAAGTTCATGGAAAAATGGCATTGCAGAAGAACAGTGAGAGATATAAACTTTGTTTTTCATCATAAGCTCCATCAAGGTCAGGACACTTTTGTAAGAGATGATACCATTTAGTCCATCCCTAAATAACTGAGGGTCCTGGGACTTTAACCATGTCAATGTAGTCTTTTTTTTTTTTTATATCATCAACTGGGGGGGAAAAAACTGACTGATTTTTTTCTTTTAAGATTAGCAAACAAAAAGTAGTCTGAAGGAGCCGTATCAGGACTGTAAGATGGATGCCTAATGATTTCCCATCGAAACTCGTACAACTTCTCTCTTTTGAGAGGAATGAGCAGGAGTTTTGCTGTGGTGGAGGAGGAGTCTCTGGTGAAGTTTTCCCAGGTGTTTTTGTGCTAAATCTTTGGCCGGCTTTCTCAAAACACTCTCATAATAAGCAGACGCTAGAGTTCTTTGGCCCTCCAGAAATCAACAAGCAACATGCCCAGGGGATCCCAAAAAACAGATGCCGTCACCATTGCTCTTGGCCAGAGCACTTTTGCTTTGACTGGACCGCATCGTATGCATTGCTTTGTCTTGTCTTGTCTTCAGGATCATACTGGTAAAGCCATGTTTCATCTCCTGTGACAAGTCTTCAAAGACATGCTTCAGGAACTTGATCCCATGTATTTAAAAATTTCATCGAAAGATCTGCTCTTGTCTGCAGCTGATCTGAGAGCAACAGTTCTGGGACCCATGAAGTGGAAAGTTTGCTCAACTGCAATTTTTCTGTGAGAATTGTCTAAGTTGAACCAGCTTATATGTTTAGGGTGTTGGCTGTTGCTTCTGCTGTTAATCGTTGGTCCTTCTCAGTTAGATCACGGACACCACGATGCTTTTCCTCACAAACTGAAGTGGATGGTTTGCCACTGTGAGCATCATCTTCAACATCATTGCATCCATTCTCAAAACGAGTTATTCATTGGTAAACTGCCAATTTCCTTGGCATTCTCCCATAAATCTCTCCTAAAGCATCACTTATTTCACCATTCTTCTACCTAAGCTCGATTGTTCTCGCAGAATTCATGTCACTCTGGTGGAGGTTCTCTTCACACAGCCATCTTCTCTGTCCTAATGCCTCAAGTCGGCTCTTGTTCAGACAAAACACATTAGTCAGACTATATTGTAGTGCATAGAAATTGAAATTAATTCATGTATTTTTTTTGTAATACACATTTTCTGTGAACTTTTTGAAGACCCCTCGTACATTAGTGGCCTGACCTAATAGAACCAGACATCCTCTTATATTCAGAACTTTCAACTAACAAGACTTGGCTGAGTTTTTTTGTTGTTGATTTTTTTTTTTGCTTTCACTGGGGATGAGTGATATTTTGTAATAGTAAATGTTAAATCAGACCTCAAGGAACAGATTCTAACAGATGTTAACAGTGCATCGGATGTTATGTTTAATCACCATCCTTATACTGGGTAGCAGTTTACATCATAACTTGAAAGTTCCTGGTTTTTTTTCTTTTTTTTTTTGTATCTTTAGTCTTTGTGGTGAAACACATCTTTCAATCTCCAGTGTAATCATTTAAAAACGATCTAGCTAATGTGGATAACAAACCACTTGGTCATACATAATGCTGTATTTGCTGACGTTCAGTCGCATGTTAATACTCTTGTTAATAAAAGCTTGTGATGATGTGACAGAGACTCCAGCTGAAGGCTTCCCTCTGTCCCCCTGTAGCGGAATGGCCAAAGACCCTCACAGGGCTGCCCAGCACCTCGGGCACCACGGCCAGCGTGGTGGTCATCCGGGGCGACCGCATGTACGTGGCCCACGTGGGCGACTCGGGCGTGGTGCTGGGGCTGCGCGATCACCCCTCCGACCAATTTGTCCGTGCCGTGGAGGTGACGCAGGACCACAAGCCGGAGCTGCCCAAGGAGAGGGAGCGAATTGAGGGTCTGGGAGGCAGGTACGACCTGGGCTTCTAACTGGGGAGGGGGCTGAATTCCCAGAAGATGTGCTTCTCTTATACCTTTTCCTAAGTTGCATAAATATAGGTTATCTCCTGTAGCTTGACAAGTAGAGCATTGCAGTGACAATGGGAAGGTTGTCAGTTCAAATCCCAAGGATCATACATTATTTGTAACCCTTCTATTGTAAATAGATCAGATAATTGACGTTAAAGGGGCAGTTCACCCAAAACCATAAAGATATGTTGTTCACCTGGGAGTTGGCTAGTTTTGGAGATATCGGTAGTAGAATATCGTCGGTTAAACATAATGGGACTGAATGGCATTCTTTCTGTTGTGATTGAAGTATCAACATATACATTTGAAAAATCCAACAGTAAAGTCTCTTACCAGAAATCATGACTAGATTACTCAAGATAATCCACAGACTTTGTAACTTTGTAACAAGCGGTTTAATGCAGGAACTGTTTTCTTCTGTCGAACTCCACACATCAATCGTATCACTGCGCAGAAGATATGTGTGCAAGCCGGTCGGCACTGATGCAATCAGTGTGTGGAATTCAGTAAGACGTTGCTGTTGAAATTTTCAAATGAATTTTTTTGACACTTTAGTCACCACAGAAAGAATTCCGTTCAGTCCCATTATATTCGAGAAATGACTGACATTTCTACAGCCTATAAAACTAGGCAACTCCCAGCAGAACAACCTAGATAGATAGACAGCACTAAAGCCTCTCTGAAACATCTTTTTCAGTTTTGGGGTGGACTGCCTCTTTAAATGTACAGCCCTATGTGACAACACTGAAAGATATAGCGATATGAGAAATTAAATTTAATAAAAATGTAGTGAAAATACAGTTGTACTACAGTTACTCAAATCTATATTCAAATATGACATTCACATCTTTACGTCTTTTATAATTGAGGCTGATGATTTGTTTTCCAGTCAGTGCTGGAAGGCAGTAGTTTTGTTAAGCAATGACATAGATTTCTCTTTGCAATTACCATCTCCCTCCTGACGAGATGTATACGCTGGCTGTTCTGCATTTGAGTCTTTCGAGAGCCGCGACGGGCGTGACCTCTGTGCCGTTGGCTACTCACTTACTTTCACAGTGACTCAATGTGTTTGTGAAAATCGGGCCGAGCCCATTGGTGATCAGCAGCGCACGATGACCACACCCACTCTGAGGGGGGGGGGGGGGTTCCTTTCTGCATCTGCTCCCATCTTCTGTGACGAATATGAGTCTCAGTTGTAAGGTCCGTGGTCACATTCCCGAAACGGTCATGGGCATCTCAGTGTGTGTACCTGTGAATCAGGGGGTGTGTGTGTCCCACTGGTGAATAACAGGATCGTACACTGGGGGTGCAGAGGGTGACCTCCGATGTTGTCAAAATAGGCCAAGGAGTGCAACACCCTCCCATTTGTACTAAAAGACGGATGTATCCACCCACCCATCACACTAAACTGAGAATACTAGAAAACTAGCAAGACTCGAGAGTCAAAATGTCGCTTGAACAGATCCACGGATTGTTAGTGTTGATATGTTGGTGGTTAACTTACCCCACCATTGTGTCTCAGAGTTTTACCCGTTGTTGATGGGAACCAGTATTTTGTTGTCAGCCACAAGGTTAAAATGGGAAGTTGCTTGATGAGGTTGGCCATGCTCTGCTCTGCCTCCTGCTGACTCTGGTTTTCCTGTAGCGTGATAAAGAAGTCTGGGGTGAATCGTGTGGTGTGGAAAAGACCCAGGTTGAGTCACAACGGTCCAGTCCGGAGGAGCACGGTCATCGATCAGATCCCTTTCCTTGCTGTGGCCAGAGCTCTGGGTAAGGCGCAAAAATGAAGAGAAACGTTCTTCCTTGTTGTTATTAGGTAAACTTTTATTAAACACAGCTTTGCTTGGATGTATAAACTGGTATTTGAAAGAGGTCCATCTTGTGGGCAGTACAAGTTACTACATTTCTTACACACCCCCTTCTGGACTTAATAGGAATTGAAAGTGTATGGTAATGTACAGTCATATATTCTTTATTGATCCCAATGACAAATTCACAGCAGCGCATAGAGAATAAATTGTATGAGTGAAATACAAAACAGGCAGTGCAAAAACACAGAAGTGTAGTGTTTATGATGTTTTTTTTTAAGTCTGGTCGCTGATAGAACCTACAATCTAGTCACAGTTGATTTTTAGTATCTGAATACTAATTTGTTTTGAAATCTGAAATAGTTTTCCTTATATTAAATGGTTACAGTTTTTTTTCTCCTATTTTTCTACCACTGGCCTTGTCTGTTGAAGTTGACTTATTGAGACGTGAGGTCAACGGGCGATCTAAAGCAGAGTGTGCAGCCGACATCGGTCCTGTTGCCTTTGCAGGTGACCTGTGGAGCTACGACTTCTACAGTGGGGAGTTTGTAGTGTCACCGGAGCCTGACACCAGCGTGCTGACGCTGGACCCCCTGCGGCACCGATACATCATCCTGGGGAGCGATGGGCTATGGAACATGGTGCCGCCCCAGGACGCCGTGTCCATGTGTCAGGACAATGATGAGGCCATGGTGAGTGCTGGGGTGCGAGGGGGGCCTGACGGCATGATGCCGCTTCCTACTCCAGGATGGTGCGTGGCTCAGCGGGTAGGGTCACCCTGCCTGTCATCAGAAGGTCACTGGTTCGAATCCCATCCTCAGCAGAATGGTCATATGTCTGTTGGGCCCTTAACCCACATGCTGGATAAGGGGACATGGCCTGACCATGTGCTTTCACCCCAAGCTTCCCTCTCAGGGTTGTATTTGTGCGTGTGTCTCAAAGGAGAGCGAGAATTATGATGAACCTGGACTCATACTTGTGCAAATGGCAATTTAAGCTTTGGTTCATTTTGGTTCATTTTTTTTTCATTTCCGGAAGGGGCAAGGTGTTGTACCTTTCAGTAACCTGGGGGTTGCTCCACGAAGCAGGATTTCTTGCTTAGCCTGATAACTTGTTGGATTTAAGGTAGTCTGTGTTAGATGGACTTGATCTTCCTTCTCTTACATTTAGCTCAGACTCCCTTAAATCCGACAAGTTATCTGGCTAAGCAAGAAATACTGGTTTGTGGAGCAACCCCCGGGAGTATTGAATAATCTGTATACCAGTTGTTGTTGTTGTTTTGGGGGGTGGAGTTTAGAGGTCATCATAACAATGATTAATACAGTGCGTCTCCTGGCTGCCCTTTGCCCTCAGGCACAGTGTGGGGTGTCAAGTGCTCAGCAGCTAGTGAGCCACGCCCTCCTGCGATGGCGGCAGCGCATGCTCCGCGCCGACAACACCAGCGCCATTGTCATCTCCCTGCAGGAGCCCGGGGGACCTCAGGGGCCGTTGCACCACGAGGAGGTCCTTCTCAACCTGGCAGATGGCCCTCACTGCGCCCCCATGTCTGGATCGCGATCCAACACCCCCCTCATCAAGGCAAGTGTCACGGGCACTTCGTGGTGGGTTGGGCACTGCGGCTGCATCTTCAGAGCGTGCCAGCGCATGTCCGCGCGTGGCCCCTCGGATCGAAAGCTTTACAGCAGATATTCACAATCAGGGTTAGTTTGACCTTGAATATCACATAAAGGTCAGATAAACTCTAGGAGCTTCCTGCTCTGGCTTTGCTGTGTGAAAGGAGAGATATAGAACATTAAATATAAGCACGGCGAGTTGGGGGCTGGGAACTGGTGCCGTGCGTGTTGACAGTAAACACATTGTGTTTAAACAACAGTGTCCCTGATGGTGGACATCTGTGTCATAATAATTTACAGCGCTTATAAAAATTATTCTTGTGCAGATGCATTAAAGGGGAGGACATTAAAGGTGCACACCCATTAAACACACACGCATTAAAGGGGAGGACATTAAAGGTGCACACTCATTAAACACACACGCACACCTTCTCCAAAACCAATGAGGATTGCTGTTCGCATTTAAGATGATCCTGGACCCATTTGTGTGGCAGCCCCCTCCTCCAGGAATGCCAGCTGCTGTTTGCTGCTTGGAGGATGGGGGGGGGTGATGTGAGTGAGTACAGATCATGGGTGGTGTTCATAGGGGGGTTGTTTTGACTGCCTTTGCACTTGATCATCTCCCTGTTTCCTCTGCTGGGAGGGGGGCCCTGCTGAGATTAGGCAGAGCAGCGGTTACGGAATTTGGGGACGGACTTCCGGTGTTGGGGCTGCCGCTACAAAAATTGGGGTCACAGAAACCGTAACCCGGCCAGAGATGCGATTATGGAGAGTGGATGAGAGGTTGTCATGTTACTATGGCGGCTGTGGGATCTCTGACCGGCGTGGGGTTGCCCTTTCTCCGCAGATGCTGGACGTGGACGCCCCGTCGCCCGTGTGCGAGCTGCTCCCGGCCCTGGAACGCCGTAACGGCTTCTCCAGTTCGAATCTGGCGGCCCTCGCTGACCCCCTGTCGGTGCGCCTGGCGGAGACGGTGCCGAGCATCGCCACCGTCGGACGCGCCTCTCCCGGGTGGAAGCGGACCGCAGAGGAGGCGGCCAGCCCTGGCGGGAAGAGACCCCGCCGCAGCCTGGGCCGCTCTCCGCACTGCCCGCCGTCGCCGGCCACGCCGCGCCGTAGGGACCCGCAGCGGCCGTCGGTGAGGCGCGGCAAGGGGCAGAAGCAGTCGCCCAATGTGCCAGCTCTGCTGCAGCAGCACCGCAAGGCTGCTGTGTGTGTGTGCTGATCCCGCCCCCTGGCTCTTGGACACGCCCCCTGGTGAAATGCTGTCCACTCAACTGCTCCCCACAACCCACCTCTGTCACTACTGATCGCTGAGCCCCAGGACCTTTCCATCAACACCTCCTTGCCGTACATCAGGCGGGCTCACGTGTACAATTTTTACATCATCTATACATGAACGGATTCATCCAGATTCATGCGTCCATTTTTTTTTCTTTTTCTTTTCATACAAAAAGTCCAGCTTTGTTCCTGTTGCTCGTTACCTGTAAAGGTGGAAATTTAGTATGGCTGGTGTATCTTTTTGTCGTTGATTTTTATTATTTTTTTCCCACTTCCCAAAGCACCGCACGTGGTCCATTCACTCACTTGTATATATTGTCAAGATTATAATGGATTTATTCCAAGGTAACGGAGGTCTGTGTTAAGTAAAGCAATATATTTTTATACATTGTCTTATTTTCAAGTTTGAAAGGATACAACACAGTCAGATTTAGGGTAGCATAGTGTCACACAGTGTCCTGATGATGTTATTCACTATGTTCTCAATTACACCCTAATTTGGGATAATTTATGCATTGTTGTTTTGATGTGCATGTCTATGTATATTTTTTTTTAATTTTTTAAATTGTTCCTTTTTCCATTAAGTGAGGAACTTTTATCCAACATTGAAGGTGCTGCTATAGTTTAATGGTGAGAAATATAATATTATATATAAAATAATGTTTAAGGTTCATGAAGTGTTGATGTTGAGGGCATGATTCCTGACATTAGCTGTTTGGGAACCACCTCTGTTTTGTTTTGACATTTGTCGTAAAGTTGTGGTCTCAGAACTGTTGCAAGAAGGTTTCCTAGCAACGTTCAGACTTCTGAGTCAATGGTTACGAGAAGGAAGCTGGATGGACACTTGACCCCATCACAATAGCCTCCACCCAGAAGGACCCATTCAATGTGGGCCAGCTTAGATGTAATAAGCCAAGGAGGCCCCAGGTGGAGATGCTTGGAATGGTGGGGGTGGGGGGGGGGGCTGGAGGTCTTACAGCAGGACAGCCGGACCCCTCAGATCCTCCACATCGGGGCCTAAATCGCAAGTCTTCCTGAGCTTCCTTTCCGGGGGAGCAGCTTTTTATCGTCCAAGCACTCGTCAGAGACCGGGAGGCGACGGGAGAGGATTCCGATGCTCTCATGTGACTTTTGTCCGTGGAGGGGGAGAAAAAGAAGACCATCGAAGTTCTTAGCTAACCTTCTCAATTTGAAGAAGCAGTCTTATTTAAAACTTTCCTCTAGGTGGATAGAAACTGGTGCTGAAGACGACATCTAAGATGAGAGAACAAAATGAAACTTGTACTTTAAGGTTACGACACATAACACTCCTGCTGTATTCAGTGAAGGAGGGAGACCCTGTTCACTTTACACCGGCATGGCTGCTTGGCTTAGCTATGACTCCCCACTGTCAAACGGCACTGTACACAGGTATAAACCCTGACTGGATATTTCTGTCTTTTTTTGGGAGGCGGGGGAATGATGGAAATTTAATCCTGCACACAGTCCCACGCTGTGTGGTGTGTGTAACCATCTTCGGACCATTTGTTGCTTTTGGATTACACAGTTGTTCCCTGGTCTCGTTACTCTTGTCAACACTGCGTCAGAAAGAGTTTCCAGTTATAGGCCAAAGTGCAATTTTCGGCATAATTTTTTCATGTTTTTTCACTTTTGACTTCTGGTGATAAATGTGGGACATGTTAAGAAGCATTGTGGGATTCATACTTCAGGGATTCAGCATGTATGCTTTTTTTTGTTTTTAATAGACTTTATTGTCAGTTAAGTCTGAGTTGTAGGTCCACTTGGGAATTAATTTCCTGTCAGATGTCCAGTGATCTGTGACACCCCAGTCTGGTTTGCACAGCGTTAACTGTGCATGTTAAACGTCAGTGCACGTGTACAGTCTCATTGTGAAATTTTATCACTCATTTTGAATGTGTGGGATATCAGTATATTGAATAAACAAAATGTTTTTTGGTCTTATTTGTTTGGCTGCAGTGTTTTTGCCCTCTTCTCCCAAAAATTGAGCTGTTTTTGCTGTTGTGCAAGGACATTCTTGAGAGATGTTGACAGTGCATCTAAATTAGCATTGAAAGCTGCAAATGTAAACCTACAAAGTTAATACAGTATATATATGATAAATGTGGATATATTTTCTCACATTCTTCAAAATTTCAAATACAGTGTTATACAAGATGATAAATATAAACGCCATTATGTAATACGTCCTATTCTATTAACGGACATTTATTCTAGTTATTAAAAACGTCCCAACAAATCCTTATATTAGGTATTGTACTGTACACCCAACGTGATTAAACGGAACGTTATTATAAACAGCATCCTTGTGAAGCCGAAAGGGTTAAAACTGCCGCAACCACGCACGGGATGTCGCGAGAGCTCAATGTAAACAAACAAGTCCGTGCGACGTGAAAGGATCATTACCTTCGGAAAAAGGCAAATGTATTTGATTTCTACAGAAAATAAACCACCGCACTGCTGAGGCAACAATTTTAAGAAAGCTATTCTTCCTCGGAAAGAATGGCATTGGAAGACCTCGGTGAAAATAGACATTATACACAACCGTAAGTCATTTTCTGTTTCCGCTGATTGGTTGCATGACTCAAAGAGCCCGCCTTCACTGGGTTACGATTGGTCATTTGGAATACAAGGTGCACTGTAATAGGTTCATTTTTCAGTTCCGCCATACATTTTTTTCTCTTTATTACTGTTTTGCGATGTTCGGTAAAGATCCTCAGTGAGCAAGTCTAGCTTACCACAACGCCTACGGTGCGTATCGCAATATTTTAATAAGCAGTATCAATTGTTTTACTCTCATTGTGCGTCAAACATGTGGTGCAGGGAAGAAGTGACATGTCCTTTCCGTTATATGTTGCTGTTGCGCTGTGTTTGCTAAGCTAGTCAGCCAGATAGCTAGCTAAGTTGTCAGTCAGAGTTGTGTGCTGTACAGTACCTGTTTTGCTAGCTAACTCGCTGTTCCGTTACCCCTCACACTTTGGTATGAGTACAGTTATGGCTCTTAGTAGTGTTAGACGTATACACATTATGAAACAGTTGACTTACAAATATGTGTTTTTTTCTGTGAAATCCCAGTTGCTAGCTGTTGCTGGTCAAGGACCTGCTGCTGCTGGTCAAGAGATTTCATAGTGGACGTCGTCGTCAACCTTTATCCCAGTGACGACTGGCACGCTTACATTTTTATAATATGTGGTTGTTAACCGATAGCCTCATTTTATTATCCTTAAAGCGGTTTGCAAAACAAGCCCAGGTACACAGCAATTAAAGCAAAATGTAAGGAAATATAAAAATACATATCGACTTTTGTGTGGTAGTTAAAACTGCAAGTTGACGTAAGTTATTTACAGGCAGGGGTCATTTTAATGGGGGAAACAGTCAAGGCTGACATTAGGAGCAGGGAAAGTCTGTGTGTGATTGACTGGGCACGTGGTCTGTTGTCAGGTCTGCACTGAAAATCCTACCTTCAGCCATCATGACGCTCACACGACAGTCACACTCACTGTTCTTTCTCTGGTTTGGCAGGTTCCAGGTTTGAGATACGCTGACACGATGGCGTCCGACTCCCCACGGCGACCCAGCCGTTGTGCCGGAGGGGTTGTAGTGCGAGCCCAAGCTGTCACGTAAGGGCAAAGCCCCTCATGTCACCCATGCTAGGGATGGCACTTTCGCCTACTGCCCCCTGTTTTTTTCCATAGATCACTCAGCCTGTTTACTGAAGCTTTTTTAGACAGTGTCGTCAAAGCAGCTGTTGGTAAATGGTAATTGACCCTCGTGAAAAAAAAGTGCCTGGTGTATGATAAATGACTCCAGAGGAAGGCTGGGCTGGAATGGCAATGATTTCCAACACGTATCTGTAAGCTGGAAATGTAGAGTCACTAGATGGTTCATTCACCTGAATAATGTAACATTTCAGAAAAAGACTTGTTGTATAATGAAAAAGTGGTAATTAGAACACAGAGGGTTCATCTTGACTGGGCATGTAAACATTAGCTTTTTTTTTACCATGCATGTATATTTAATTTTGCAATTATGTAGATTAAGAACATGAAAATAAGAAGCTGTAAGTCTGAGCTCTTTCTGTGTATGGCCAATACGGATTTACCCTGCTAATAGCTAAAAGGTTTTTGTAATTATACTTCACCATGTTTGCGAAACCTTCATGCAAAATAATACCACGGAGAAGCTGCTTCATTTCTCAGGAATGCCCCATCACATCTGCACTGCCATGGGGCTGTATGGTGCTTGCATTTCACACAGGTTTTTGGAACACTGCAGCTCTATGGCTAGAACACTAGAATTTTGTGAATGTGGCCAAAAATGCAATTTTTTTTTCTCAGAACAGTTGTTGTGGAATGCCTCTAATGTGAAGGATATAATTATTTTGTTCTAAAGTCTGAATTGACTGCATATCAAACTCATGATTTAAATCTTTGCAGTTCCATAACGAATGTGTGTGAAATGCAAGAAGTGTAAAGCCTTGAGCTACATCTGTTAACCCGATTCTTTGTAAGTTGGCTTTTCTTCCTTTTTCGTGGCAAAATATGAAACAAACTGGCCGTCTCTACCTAATGGAAATCTAAAGAGGATCCAGCACAGTGATCACATAACGTATTTTCATGCTTCATTCAGTTTTCACGGTTGTGGGGAAATCCAATACTTTTGTGTATTGTTGCATTTGTTTATTGGCCAGGAATTTGCACCAAATAATGCCCGTAACAACCCTGTAAGTAAGTGAACAAGGGTTGTTGTGTGGTGTAGATTTCCATGGCTGCCAATACCCTACAGTTCTGTACTGAGAGCCATCTACGTGGCATCTACATACCTTCAAATCTTTTAGTGGGGTTTCGTTAGATTATGAACATACAAATAAATCCCTAGTTTACAGGAGGCACCTCGTTTTTGCAGGGAGCAGTCCTACATGGAGAGCGTGGTTACTTTTCTGCAGGATGTTGTTCCACAGGTAGGAATACTTTCTTCTCGCATGCCACTGAGGAACATGCATCACCATGGAATGTCTGTCAGCTCACTTCTGCCTTTGCTCCTTTTCTGTTTGTTTTGCAATTTAAGGCTTACACCGGTGCCCCCCCGACAGATGAAAAAGAGAAAATCGTTTGGGTCAGATTTGAGAAAGCCGATATTAACGGTAAGGGCCGAGCGACAAATGTTGTGTTGTGCCTTAGCGTTGTTACAAACTGCCATTTGCTGCAAGACATGCTTTAGTAAAATTTAATTGCATATGTAACAATTGCAGTTACATATGCCTCTATGGCAGGGTTTCCCAATCCGGTCCTGGGGGGACCCATAGACAGTCCATGTTTTTGCTCCCTCCCAGCTCCTAAGGGAACAAAAATGTGGATTGTCTGGCAGGGAGCTCAGAGGGAGCAAAAACATGGACCGACTGTGGGTCCCTGTGGACTGCATTGGGAAACACTTCTCTATGGTATAAGTTTGCCGTACCTCGGCTCTCCCTCCCCAGAATGTTCCATCCACAAAAATCCATGTGGAGGCAATTCTTCTGTGAGTTCTCACTGTCAAAGAAACAGAAGATAAAAGATGGGGGTAAACTGGTTGAATCTTCATAAGGAAATCCAAAAGGGTCCTTCTCTATTGGGTACCTTACATTTTTATTTTTCATATATAGCAGTCCCTGTGAGAAGAACCCGTATTCTTTGTCCTGAATTTGTTAGTTCAAGCAATTCTGTGACCTTAGATGACTGATTCTTTGGAAGGTTGGCTTAGTTCTTGGTTGCCTTTGCCTGTTTCTCATCAGGGACCTTGCATGCTCCATATTTCTGCTAAATCCAGGAAAATGGCCTTACTGATTTGGTATAATGTCATTCAGGCTACTTACCAAGGGGGGAGGGGGTTAGGCCCAGTGGTGAAATCTGGGATTTGAACTGGCATCCTTCCCATCACAGGCGCATGGTTCTAACTCGCTTCAGTGCTGATGCTGACATAATTGCTCTAAAAAGGATTGGTCTGGCATTTTGAAGATTCACCATTACAAATGTGTGTTGAGTGTGCTGGAACTGGGAAAAGGGGGCTTGCATGTAAATGTATAAAGATGCAGTGCTTTTGTTAGGTGTAGGAGTAAGTCATCAGATATATTAGTAAAAGCAAATCTTACTATTTCTAATGGGGGCCCAAGTCTTCTTGTTAAAGCATGTGCTCAAACGTGCTCAGTACATCAACGCCCCAGTCCACACTAGTGCTCTTCAGAATCATTAACATGAGCGAGTGGGAAGTGATTGCCAGTCAGGGAAAGGCTGAAAGCGAGCCGTGATCCAGCTGTGAAGGCAGGCAGAGGGCGAGCCGTGATCCAGCTGTGAAGGCAGGCAGAGGGCGGGCCGTGATCCAGCTGTGAAGGCAGGCAGAGGGCGGGCCGTGATCCAGCTGTGAAGGCAGGCAGAGGGCGGGCCGCTTGCCACGGTCGCCACCGTATGGCAGCCCGTCAGAGCTGCCTGCGCTTCTGCTCAATCACACCCGTCAAACCCCCTTTGCGTTGACACGGGACCGCTGGCTTGTCTTACCTTTTTTTTGAATGCAGTGAAGTCTGAAATGTAAATGGTCTGTGGGTAACAGACCTGTGTACGGTTAGCATGGCTGGGGGGTGGTTTGCCAGCCACTAGGCCTTTGGCTCCCAGAGGACCCCCCCCCCATGCCTGACTTTGGAGATTGTGTTTCCCTTCCTTTCTCATCATCTGCCTTCTTTTCATTTTCCAACTTAAAAGTTGTCTTACATTACGTGTTGTTTTGTCTGCCTGCAATGTCGTATCTGTTTTAATTAATATTAAATGTACCCGTAATGATTTTCCTAAATCGTCATTAAGTGTCTTGGGATGGTCGCCATAAAAGACCTAATTCAATTGCAGCAAACGACAGCCAGCTGGGAGGAAAGTTTTACCATTTTCATATGAATTTATAAATGCCTCATTGTTTAAGAGTAACATGAGGCATACCTGTTACAAAACAAGTCATACCGCAGTTGCTGGCCACGTGTTCAGTATGCCGTCAGTTCAGTATTAGCGGTATTAAATGGTACCAATTTATTTAAATTTTGCCAAAATTGATTCGCTAAAGAACAGCTGGCTGTGAGCTCACGGTGCCTTGGGTCAGAGCAGTGTAAGTCAGTGCTCCTCCTCTGGTTCTCCCCGGACAGATGTGGCCCGCTCCCCGGAGTTCCTGGAGAAGCACGGCAGCGGGAGCGACCCGCCACTCTGCCTGATGATTGGCTACACGGATGGGCTGCAGATCTGGAGTGTGTCTGTGAGTATAGATCCCCCCCCCCACTTCTCATATCGCAGTCATCACCATGAGATCCAGGTCCTGGTGGGGGGGGGGGGGGGGGGGTTTGATTCCAAAGGCTACCGGAAGCGCTGGTCTCTCAGCGTGTAGCTGTTCATGCCTTAATGTGGATAAGTATGCCTCGGACCTGACGTTCCACCACTTTGCTCAGTTGATTGGTCGGTACTTAGCGGTTGCTGAGGTTCCCGGTCCGTTTCAGGTTCTGGGTTAAGATGCAGCGGGGTTCCAGGTCTGTGCTTTTTTGTTTAATGACGCGGTGCTGAAACGACAGGCTCCATTAAGTGGGCAGGTAGCCGAACTTGCAGATGAGCAGGGCTGCAGACGAGCAGGGCTGCAGAGCTACCACGGGGAATCGCAGTGCTGTTCCTGCATATTCACCTTGCATTCCTGTCTGTTTCCATGCGCAGAGTTTGTCGGAAGGAGGATCCATCACTGTTTAAGATTGTTTTGAAGGCATTTAATTGGCATCACTGCTTGTGGCTATAAATGATTGTGAATGTGGGTTATGAAGACTGCAAGTTTACATTTAATTTAATTTGTAACTGAACTTGTTTAATCTTTCGTAATAGTGATTTTGCTTGATAGTGATGTGTTGTGTAGAAGGTCAAAGAATGCTGTACTCTGGCCATTGGCAAGGGATTTCCGCCTATATATCCATTTATCTATCGATTTTCCATGACTGCTTATCTAATGCAGGGTCATGATGAGGCTGGATCCCAGTCCAGGAAGCGCATTGCACAAAGTAGGGGATACCCTGGATGGACAGGCAGAGGGCAGAGAAGTGAGGTATAAGAAATGGCTTCAATGTAACATTGTCTGATGGCCGTGGCAGCTGCTATACCAGAAAATGAACACTAGATGTCAGTAGAGGCAAAGGTTTGGACATGTGGTTCCTAGGTTTTGGAGGCACACTTTGAGGAATCGAACAGCTTCTTTACAGACATCTAATTCAGATGAAGGTTTGCAGTCATGATCTATTTACGGTTTGTGCCTCATTCTTAAGTACATGATCTGGTGTCGTGTGGGTGATTAGCTGGGTGTGGGCCCTGACGGTACACTTTCATGGGGAGGAACCACAATTACAGGGAACATATGAAAAATGGCATGTGGTGAATTAGATAATACGTAAAGGCTCATGGAGGTGACGGATATATCACTATTTTAGTCTTCAATCCATGTTTCCTTTCAGTGAAGTGAAAATGGAAGAATCCTTTTCCCGTATTGGCGGGTTTTCCCCAAGAGTGGTTGGCGTGTTGAGAGAAAGATCTATAACTTTAGTGGGGCTTTCGGGCCACACGCTGGACCTGCTACGTTTTTGCCTTTATATCTAGCTTTGAAGTTTGGTGACATGAAAAGCTGACCGTTTGCGCAAGAGTTAATCATTTACTGGCCTGTCCGAAAAAGTCTCTTATTGCTCAGCAGTGCGGAGGAACTCTTGGGTTTGGCGTTTGACCTCCGAAGTTAATCTGAAGGTCACGACGCTGCCCGCCCAGCTTGAGGCTATGCCACACACAGCTCTCTATCGTTTGGCCGGGGGTGGGTGGCAATTAGGGAAGGATAGGAGGCTGTCGCACTGGCCGAAGTGTGTCACGGTGACCCAGCGACAACCATGTTTGATGCTGGATTGTTGGTTAGCCAATGAGATACCGGTAGAAAGGGCAGCCATTTCCCTACTCGCTGTCCATTCCCAGCGATGGAAGTCTGGCCAAACTCCCTCTGGTGCCACCTTCCCTGTTAGTGTTTGTGCATTCCTGCTTCTCATAGGTTTTTATGTAGGTCATACATGTTGTTTTGAATCTTATTCTTAATATTTAAAATTCTGTGGCCCTCTGTGGAATAACCGTGGTTATTTTTTGCTTGCACTTTTATGTGTTCTTGGTAATTTAAGGAGAAAAACGGGGAACTGGGATTTTCCCTTTTTTGAGTTTTACTTTTTTTTTTTAAAAAAAAAGGAAAATGAGTTTGAGGATTTGCAAACCATTTTTGTATGAATTAAATGTTTTTGAAGACCCCCCCCCCCTTTTAAACTTTTTCATATCTGCTGTCTGTGAAACAAACACTTCACATCCGCTCCCCGAGAGCAAACAAAACAAGTCTTTAATCGTCCCTCTGTAAACAACCGGAGTCCCTTAAGATGAGACAGACTGCTCCCCCCCGGACTCTTTGAGGACATCACTGCAGGTCAGCAAAAAAAAAAAAATGGTATATAAATGGACGAGCAGTGTCAAGGGATAAATGTGTTACCTGGCTCTTCCTCTCTTTGAGTTTTAAGTGAGATATATATTGTATAATTCTTCTGCTCTGACACTCCTGCCTTTCTGTTTGAGCCTGATTCCTGCTCGGCCTTTGGAAGGCGATGAAAGTGAGATTGGTCCCGGGCCTTGAGTGACCGTGAAGTGCTCATGACAACCGCTAAGCTGACACCCTCCATAATGGCGTTAAATTGAGTTGGAAACAGCACCCCCCCCCCCACACACACACACACCTTAACCCCGGGCTGCTTATCAACCGCCACCCACCCCCAAATACATGTGCGTCGATGTCTCCTCGATGGTGATCTTCGCCCGGCGAGGTGTTACCCCCCTACCCTGGGTGCTTGGGGGGGTGTTGAGCGGGGGAGGTGTCCGTGGGCCTGACATGCTTTGAAACGAGGCGTCAGGAGCAGCGGCGTTGTTGCTAAAAGCCCCGGCTGCGGGCAGCTGGACCCCCATCCGCCAGGAGAGGCACGGTGTGCCCCCCCCCCCCAGTTATTTCTGTCTCGTGTTTTCTCCCTCCTCGTCCGGCTGAGTGATGTGGTACAGGTGAGGGAGACTGGGGGAAAAAGGAAATACACCTAATGGGGCTTTGTGTGCCCGCTAGGGGGCGCTGTCTCCATCCATCTAACATTCAGGTTAAATATCCAGGCCTGACGCCGCTTCAGGTTCTCCGGCTGGCTGCCACGACGGGGGGGATTTCCGGTGTCCTGACCGCGTGTCTGTAGACCCACTTGCAGGGATCTGATTATGGCGCTGATGTGCAAGACGGCCAGCAGCGTTGCCCTGCGCAGAGGATCCATTAGCCCCACGCCGTTTGCGATAAGGCCTCCGGAGGGAGTGTTACAGCCTGTGGTATCTTGTCGAAGGAGGGGGTGATAGGAATAAAAGCAGATACTATGGATCGCCATAGGAAGTGTGGTACCAACCTACCTGACCATTCACTCCCTTAACATTCACTGCGGCTGAGGCGAGACCATGCGATCGCAGGTTGACGCAGGAGAGGTGCAGAACGTCTGGCCTGGAATTCTGGGAATAAATACAACTGGCATAGACTTAAAAAAACAACAAAAAAAAAGAACAATTTCATATATTGCTGTGTTAAATCGTAATGTAATGGTGAAAATGTCAAGTGGATGTCACACAGACTTTACTACAATGAGGATGAACTTAGCAGTAATGCATAATGACAGTCGCATTAATATAAACCCCACAATCCTGCAAATTCCATTATTCTGCTGGTCCATTTAATTGTCTATATTTCTTTCAGATGTGTATGAGCTTCAGATGTGTATGTGTTTGAATAGATCAGTAATCTCTCACTTGAAAAATGTACATATATATAAAAAAGTGTGCAGCGACCGCTTTTATTAAATGCATTATTCTGATGTGCCACTTTGAAGCGGCTGCAGTGCTTGCATGAGGCCAAGCCGCTGGCGGCTGCGCTTCACGCGCCCGAGACGAGTGCATTACTTGGCTCTGCTTGATAATGCGTGCCCGCCCTAATTTAACATAGAGATGGTGAGTCTGAAGCGGGGGAGAGGGATGAAGATACGGCGTGAAGGAGGACCGCTCGAAGTGGTCAGACGCCTCCGGGAGCATGCTGGGGGGGCATTGCATGCGTGCAGTTTCACCCTCACCCCCCCCCCCCACAACATCTGAAGAGGTGATTTACTGAAAAGCCAACAAAAAAAAAAAATGGAGAAATATAGACGCTCTTCACGCACTGCACGAGGAAAGCTGACCCATGACGATGATGAGTCCCGCCAGGAAAAGCTGGGACTGGTTTGCTCCGCTGAGCTTTTGACAGAGAGAGTAATCGTCTGCATTGTAATATTTTGGATGCATCGACTTTGCTCTCTGGTAGCTTTTGTTCTGTGGTTTGCTTTGCAGTCCTTCCCCTCTCTTTTGGCACCCTCCCTTCACGTGAACCCTGATCCACACAGTTGGAGTTGATTATTTTCCTTACAGTGTGAACAAATCTTTCTTTGTTCTCCTATATATTGTCCTCTGACTTCCTTGGACGGCTTCTCAGTCCGACGGCAAGAAGTTTATCATCGGCCCCTGGTAATTGTTTCATTGCGTTACGGAGTTTGGTGCCCCCAGGAATAACGGTAATTGGAAGTATGTCTGTATTGATTACAGGACTAACTTATTAAGGGTTTGCTAAACTGGCAACCCACAAAGCATGAAGCTTATTATCAGAAGTAGGGCTCTGCCAGGGGGGAGGGCATGTTTAACTATTTCAGGCGCCTGGAGATTGGTCTGTTTACAGGATGTCCAGCGCGTGAAGTTTTTGATGTCCAAGAACAGAGGTATTTTTTTTTCTCTGTGGTGGGGCCATCTTTTTTAGTCAGTCAGTGGTTGGCAAGACCTGGAGGACCTCGGAAAATAGGGAGTTGATTGCGTGTGATTGAGCCTTGGCTTTCTGCGGTCGAAACCGGTCTTCACTGCGGCTTCCGAGAGGAAGCGGCTTAATGTTTCTTGGGGGGGGGGTGACGTGGGTGGGGTCTGTAATAACACGGCCCCCCGCGTGCAACCAGAGTGGGCCGTAGCCCGTCGTGCCCCCCCCTCACCACCAACACTGTTCAAAAATGCATGCAAACTACTCAAAATGGAGAAGGTGACCGGATATTTAAAATGGCTGCTCTCAGTCTTTTAAGTAATTCTTCCATCCCACGGGAATCCGTTCCCCCACCCCCCCAGTACCGATGCTCCTTCCTGTGGTCCTCGGGCTTGCAGGTGATCATTAGCAGCGGTGTCCCGGTCGCAGCGCCCCCGTGCTTGCCTGTGTTTGTCCCGTGCCGCTAACGCCATGTCTGTCTTCAGCCTCTGCCGTCACCCCAGCAGCTTTTGTTGATCCTCTGACAAACAAACACAGAAAGGGTCCCTTTGTCTCCCTGGACCGTCCCCTTCTCCCAGTCTGCCTCACCGCCCCGTTTTACACTTTATTTAAAAGCACTTAGCCAAAATGGGGGGCCTGGCAGATTTGAGGAGCGAGCTGTCGAATTGCCCCTCTGCGGCAGATGAGCTCCCTGGCTCCACGGTGTCCGCTTCGTAAGCGTTTCTGGGGGGGGGGGGGCAGTAAGGGGGGGCCACCTGGGGAGATGGTGATGGCCGGTCCCCAGGGGACTTGGGGCCTGCCTGCAGGCTCCTTGTGATCTCTGCCCTCCGGTGCAGTGCTGCGGGTACGAGCACCGCATGCTGGCCATCATAAGCCCGAAGATCCACCATGAGGGTCGGGCTGGATGTGAGGATGAGGGTCAGGCTGGATGTGAGGATGAGGGTCAGGCTGGATGTGAGGATGAGGGTCAGGCTGGATGTGAGGATGAGGGTCAGGCTGGACGTGAGGATGGCCTTGATTCGCTGTGCTGTACGCGGCCATAATACAAATCATGGCTTGTGTGCCTGCATGCAAGTTTTACTAGTTTGTTTTAGGAAAAATCTGGACGAATTTCCTTTTAACAACTGAATATTCCAGCAAAAGACAATATCGCCCCACAAATCAAAGGCCTTTTATGTGTACTGCATTTTATACGACTTTTACAAGTGTTGCAGATTTATTTTTTTTTGTTGGTTTGTTTTTGCATTTCAGTGCAATGGGGTTAATTAGCATTAATTAAGTCAGGGGTGAGGGTTCGAGGAAAGTTTCCATAAGAACAGTGATGCTGGCCTGTGCATCACTTTCTGTGTGTTTGCGTTTCAGCTGACTGGAGAAGCCCAGGAGCTGTTCTCTGTGAGGCACGGCCCGGTGCGGACGGCCCGGATCCTACCAGCACCACACATTGGTGAGTACCCCTGTGGGTGCCCGGCTCTCCCGCCTGCCCCTTCCCCGGCCTGGCCGGAGTCCATCACGCAGCTCATAGGCCGGGGGAGGTTTGAGTTCGTGACCTTTGCCGCCGCCCCCTCTGCTGGACACAAAAGTGAGATTTTTCGCCCCGGTCCGCTTGCCCTTTGCGTCCGTGTGGGCTGTGGCGCATAGGTGACCGCGAGAAATGCAGGGGCTTCGAGAGCTTTTGTGCGGCACCGTGATTCCGTGGCGTCTCACACAGTCTGTTGTTTTCAGACTGGGGGAGGAGTCGCGCGCGGTCCGAATCAGCGCTGCCTGGGCCCGCCTGCATTAGCTGCGAGTCCCCAGACAGCGGCGCTGGTCTCGGGTCAGGTGGAGCTCGGCTGCTTGGTGTTTATCAGCATACGTCCTCCTTCGGAAGGAATCTCCCTCTTCGCCTAAAGAGCACCGCTTTCCTCCGCTTTCCAGTGCACGGCTTTTGAAGTCACATCGAATCGCAACGCAGCTTCAATTTGTTTTGCCCCCCCCTCTGCCTCCTCCCCCCAATATATCATCGTGAAATTAAAGGCTGCCGCGTGTTTCTTAATAGAGCGAAGGCCCAGCCAGGCCCCCGCTGTTTCCCCATCCTAATATTAAAGTCACTCCTTTATGATTAGTGTTGGCATCACGCCAACTGGCGGATTCAGAAGTGAGGCCCTCTTCTGTGCCAGAGTTCAGTAAAACACGGAGATTGTCCTCCTTTCATCACAACTTGCCTATTGGCTAGTGAATGACTTGCGGTAATTACGTTTATTAAAAGAATAAGTTTTGGGGTGGGGGGCGGGGGGGGATTGAGGCTTCTTCCCTGCCGGGACGGAATCCCCCCAGGTGTCTGAGACTCTGGGCTTTCCGAAGCCAAACGATTCCCGTCGCTGGACGGGTTACGCACCCCACAGCTGCTTTTAATATGCGGAGAAAACAAGCACACGCATCCTCTCAGGCGTACGGTTTGCAAGTCGGCGGAGGCGCGCGGCGTGGCCGGCGTCGACGGCACCCACAGTTCCACGCAGCCCACAGCGCAGGTGGAACAGCGTCGAAATGCGAAAAACACACTGAATTACAGAATGTGATGAATGGCATATCGCAAGTTTTTATTTTTTTTTGGTTCGTTCCCTCCATGTTCCGGTCTTTGGGCAGACTTCAACAATGCACAATGACAGCATTGAAAAGCGCCTGGAATGGGATAAAAGCACAGGGCGTTAATAAGAAGCAGCAGATATCCAGCACATGAGGAGAATGATTCTCTGCAAAATAAAACGAATTGTACCAGCGGGGGAAAACGATTGCAATCTGTCAGGCGCAAACAGTGTTGCACTGTAGTGAGTTGTGAAGGGGGATTGTTCCATGTGGGAGTCTGGGTGGGTGAACTTGGAAAGGAGTGGAAATAGGTGTCGATTTTAATAAGTAAAGGTCTCTCCCAGAATAAAGGAGGAAATTCACAGTTTTTTTTTTTTCTTTCCCAGAAGGCACTGAACCATTTTTAAATCACTGTGGTGGTTCCTCCCCCCCCACCGTGTTTGTACAAATCTGCCTCTTAAAGGTAAATCTACAACCCGCTGCTCGGGTGGCTTGTGGAGAAACTTCACGAGTTTTGCCATGGAGGAAAAGCGCAAAAGAATGATAGCGATTATATTTAGCGTGTAATTTTATTCTACACAAGTAATTTGTTCAGTTTTCTTTAATGGATGGAGACATTGGCAATTTTTTTATTTGACGACTTAATATAAATTAATCCTGACTGGCGTCAGTTTTGGTTTGGTCAGTAATGTCCTACAGACATCCGTCGCTTCTAAGCCCTCATTCGCGATTCTCATGTAAGCTTTTTGAACGGCCGACACATCCAAACGACGAGCTATGTTGGAGGACACGCCATATTACCTGTTCACAAACACGCATGCACACGCGTGTGGGATGGATGGAGGCTTGCGTTTCTTGAGGCGTTGAGCAGCCATAATCAAAGTCGAGATCTTTTCCGCATGGCCGGGAAGCAGCAAAGTGGATTTGTTTTCCTAATTGTGTCATTTCTAAATTAAAGTCAGCTGCCATCTTCGGGCCCGAGACCCCGGGCCCCCAGTTAGACGCCATGGCCGCCGACTGCTCTGGACGGCGGGAGCGTGAGGTTTGGACGGTCGCCCTTTGGCAGCACTGGGGGTTTGCGGGTGACACGCACGCCCGACAACGTGCCTCGAGGGCCCCGCGGTTGCCAGGCTGACGGTCGTCATCTCTCAGCGGGGCCAAAATGACAGTTTGGACAGTGGTTTGGAAGTCTTCACGCTCGCCTCTAGGGTTCGCTTTCCAATCCTGCTGCTAACGAAATCCTCATTCTTCATATAAAACAGATATGATGGCAAATTCCAAATTCTGTGAACTCCTCAAGCACTATAAATTTAGCTGGGCCATGCGAGAACCAACCCCCCCCCACATGCGGAACGCACGAGTGCCGGTCCGGAGCCCGACGTGTCCTGGGGCTGACGCGCCCGTTCCGCGTGTTCACTCACACACTGCTGTTTCAGTTTCAGTTGATCCCCATAAGTACGTATGTGAACCCAGCATTATTCTGCGGTCAGGGGGATGAGCTGACAGGAGAGAAGGTCCCTTTTATTATTATTTTATTTTTTGCAGATTTTCTTGGAAATTTTGAGGCCATAATTTGATTACAGAGAGGCTGTTGTAATGCAATCAACGCGCTTCCTGCCGCAGGAGCGGCTTGTTAAGATGAAGTGGGTGGCTGGCTCTGCTGGACAGACCAGAGGCTTCGCATGCACATCCGTCATGAATGTCCCCTTTGTTTCCGGACAGTGTTTTAATCCCCCCCCCCCATCCTGCCTGTGTTCTCGCAGGTCCTCTGAAGGCTGACAGTTTCGCGGAGAAGAGGCCCCTTCTCGGCGTGTGCAAGAGCGCCGGCTCCTCTGGGTGAGTGGGCGCCAGGGCCGGCACTTCCTCTGCCCGCTCACGGGGTAACGGGGATTTGTGGGGGGGGGGTGGGGGGGTCTCATTCTCTCCCCAGTTTGCCGATCGTGGCGCCGTGAGGGCTGCAGTTCCGTAAGGTTTGGCCGACGGCATGGTTTCCGTCCGGCTCATCCGAGCGGAAGATGAGATGCGAGGGTTACTGGCCTCATGCTTCTTTTTGAAGCCTGCCCCAAAGAGTGCCCCCCCCCCCACACACACACACACACACACACACACACACACACACACACAGGCAAAACTGGTTTTTAGGATTCTCAGGAAACCTGCCAATGAATACATGAAGGAACTACTGCCAAAGTCCCGGGAGGAGTTCCTCCAGAGCCACGCAGCCGCACCGCACGCCTCCCCCTCGGAGCTTGTCACCCGTGGCAGCGCGTCATCTGTGCGATTCGGCGCAGGCACATTTTCCGGTCAGCCCCGGATCGGCCCGAACCCCGAGTCCCAATGGAATCTTTTATTTCCCCGTCACTTTTTATGGGTTTTCCTTCCCCTCCGCGGCGCAGCAGGAGAGTTCATTCTGCACGGCCTCCCTGGTGTCACGAGGTTCAGGCGGAGAGCGCCTTTGAAAGCCTGTAATTTGCGTCACGTAACGAGCGCCATCAAAGCGGCGCACGGGCCCCGGGCCCGGGTAGCGGTCGGCCGGGCTGGAGCCCCAAGAGCTCTCGCCAGCCTCAGTACGCCCTCCCCACACACACAAGATAGGGGTGTGCTCAGGGACGCACCCTAGAAGGAAATGTGGCATCGACATCCGCGGCCTCTTCCTCCTGCCTCCGCTCCTCCCCCCGTTTCGGCGGGGACCACCTTTCCGATGTTCCCAGCGCCCCGCCGCGGAAAACTCGCCATGTCCGTCCTCACATGGAAAAAGAAGCTTAGCGGCTTTGGCTCGCGGACCCACAGACGTTTGCGTTAATGCCGAAAACACGTCCGCGTTATAAACCGTAACCCTGACCTCTGGCTGAATGGCGCGGTACGGTCCCGAAAGCGCTTTCTAAATAACGTTATATTTAAAAAAAATCTATAATATATGAAAAAAGGGAAGGAAAAACCCTCAGAACACATTAAACTCTCTTTTTCCATAACTAGTTCATAAACTTACTAAGGTCCTCACACGGTTTTTAGTGTATAATCATTTTGAAATGACAGCTTTAGCCAACCACCAAAAAGGACGCCGTCCTGACACAGAAATGGAAAACAGATTCCGAGTTTTGGCCGCCGCAGCCGCACCGGTTTAGAAGTCAGTTCGCTCGGCTTCGGGCTTAGATTACAAGATTTGCAAATTAAAGACAAAGCAGCACGAGGAGTAGCATGTGTGGCGGCCCAGTGTTTGGGGAAGTGCGGCCCGGCTCTCGCTCTGTGCCGTCTCCTCAGTGGATGCGTGTCGATGCGTGTCCCTCGCGCAGGGTTTGCAGATGGAGGGCTGCGCGTGCTTGTGCCCCACCAGCCCCTAAGCCCAGTTGCTGTAGATCTGGATTAGCTCTGAATCTCCATCGCGGTGCTGCTGGTCTTGAGGTGGTCTGTAGACATTAAGGTTTACAAGAGGAAGGACCGTATGGTCTTACTGATCGTTCCTGCATTTGTGTGCAAAGAATGGAGACGTACTTTGACTGCTTTGTTTTCCACCCCTTTGAGGGTGTTTGTAGGACAGAAAAACGCTTCTTCTTTGTCACATTCTTCACTGATTCATGAGTGCTCAGGGTAGGAAGACTCATTATGGCTCTTCTATGGTTAGGGTAAGGCTCTCCCGTGCTCAGTGCGGGAATCTGGTGGTGTTTTGGTCCTGTTCAGGGTAGGAACCTGGCCGCGTGTGGGGTAAGATTCTGGCCCTGTCATGCCAAATTTCATCCGCCGTCTGAATTTCTTCCGCCTGTGACATAACGCTCAGCTGTTAGGCCGATTATGCAATCGGGATGGTGCAGTTCCAAGGTCCCCCGAAAGTTCACCCTTACCGCTGCAGGAAGTTCACAACAATAAACCACGTTCACTTATTATTAATCTCATTTCCATTTAGCCATAGAGTAGAACCAACATGTTTTATTAGTTTATTAATGTATATTTATACATTATTTATTATATATTTCTATGTTTAGCTCGATAGCTATGTGTTTTATCGAGTATAACCACTAATTTGATAAGAATTGTCTCACTAATGTTTTATTAGATTATTAATGTATATTTGATTTGATTATCGATATATAATCAGCTGCTGTGTTCAGGGTAGGAAGCTGGTTTTGTGTGGGGTGACACTCTGGCCACGTTCCTGCCCTGCTGTGTTCAGGGTAGGAAGCTGGTTTTGTGTGGGGTGACACTCTGGCCACGTTCCTGCCCTGCTGTGTTCAGGGTAGGAAGCTGGTTTTGTGTGGGGTGACACTCTGGCCACGTTCCTGCCCTGCTGTATTCATGGTCGGAAGCTGCCATCTCCAGTTTTGATGCCTTTCCAGTTGTTAATTCCCAGTGGAGGCGTGCGGCTCACCTCTGATAAATGCCCTCTTCCGTCAGCACGTCGCTGACAGCTGGATTTGTTTGGGGGACCTCGCCTCAGCTCGGACCACCCAGTCGCCATGGAGACACTGTCTCGCCAGTGATCAATGACAGGCCCCCTCCGCCCACACCGGCCCAGCAGAACCGCACTCGTGTTTGTCATCAGGGGAAGCGGCATGCCTCTCGCACCCTGGATGGGAGCCCTCCATCCAGGCCGCACTGAGAGCCGCTGAGCCTCGGTGTCTCATTCCAGAATTAATCTCGTCGTTTTCATCCCCTCGATGGAAGCGTCGCCGTCATTGTCATCCGGTGTCCCTAATTGTCCTTCTCTAAATTCAGATGAAGCCCTGCTGTCGCACAAAGCCTGATCATTAATTACGGGGCTGGATTAAAAAGGGCAGAGACATAAAAAGCAAACAGTCCAACAAACGGTTTCAAGAGAGACTTAAGCAAAGCTCATTGTGATACTAAGCTGTGCTTTTCATTGCATTTTCTCCGCAGTTTTAAACATTAGATGTGAAGTATCCTGCCTAAAGTGTATTAAATGGAAAAGCAAAATCGGGGTATTAAAGAGGAGCCAGATTAAGAGGATTGAGAACTAGCGCCTGTTACAGAATGGTGGCTGGCCGTTGGGAGGTGGTGCACTCTCTCTGTGCCACACCCACCGTGTCGAGCACCTGAAAGGCCCTCGGGTGCTGGGGCTGCTTTTGTCGCCTTTTTTTTGGCCATAAATCCCGGAGATGCTGTGTCACATGTCTCAGCACGAGCCGTCGACCAGCTGCGCAGGTTGTTTGAGTACAGAGAGCTTAATCGCAGCGCTCATGCAACACTGGGGATAATGTCAGTTTATTTCTAAAATGTATCTCCTAGAATTATAGCACGGCAGAGTTGCAAGTACATTAACGATGGGGAATAATAAATTAAAGGTGCCTGGATGGAAGCTGATCATCCTTTGATGTCTTTGCGTTTTTATTCTATAGTCTGTGATACAATAGTAGTTTATTGTCATTATTAGACTTCTCATGACGGTACATGAATTAGTCCATCATTACTCACGCCTGTCATTTTTAATTTAGAGGTTTCCCTTCCTGAATGTTGGAGCTGCTCTGCGCTTTGAGAGTGGAGGGTCTGTGATGGTTGGTCTTCCTCCGTCTACACGGCCTCCTGTCCCGTGTCCTTCTGCTGTCCACTCAGGCATTTATTGCGACCACGGCGTCTGCTCTTTCCACGTTTCGCTGTTTTTGTTATTTGAGAATTCGAGGAAGGTTTCTGTTCGTTCATTCATTCATTCAGTCATTTATAGATATTTCTCCTGCTTTGGAAAAGATTCAGAAATGACCCAGGAATTGAGAAAATCGTAAAGCTTGCGGTGACTGTGACTCGGCCTCCACCTAAAAACTGCTTCCCGTTTCCAGGTTCGCTGCGGGCCAGCGAGTTAGGGCGGGTCGCTGACATCATCTGAACCCTGAGTGACTTTCCTTCCTGACATTAAGCCTTTACAGTACTGGCGTGTGTATGCACCCATCGGCCGGTTTATTAGGTACACCTGCTTGCAATTGAGCCCGGTACATATAGTGCACAAAAGAGGAGTCCGGAGGTTCTGTTACTGTTCTGCTCAGCATTGTGATGTGTTGCGATTGTCCGTGCCAAACATACCAGTTCCGGAATCTCCAAAACAGTCATCCTCCTGGGATTCTCACATCCTACATTGTCTAGAGTTTACACAGAATGGTATGATGAACAAAAAACATTCCGTCGATGGCATTTCTGTGACTGAAAACCCCTTGTTAAGGAGAAAGGTCAGGAGAGAATGGATAGACTCGTTAAAGCTAACAGGAAGGCTACAAGTGCAAAATACAACAGTGCAGGATGGCTTCTCTGAACAAACAACTCATGTATCCTTGAAGCAGTTCCGGAGAGAAATGTATCTTGTATCTTGGTGTACCTAATAATGTGGCCCCTGGGTGTATTCATCATGTCCGACCAACCGGACATTAGTGCATTTAGATGCTTGTCTAATTTAATCAGCAAGCATGTCAGGAACCAGAAAGTTTATTAGTTGTGAAATAGGTTAATGTAATGTCCAGGGAGCGGGCCAGACAGCATATGAAAGCCTCCCTGCTGTCCGACGACCGGCCTGAACACATGCGTGTCTGCCTCCTGTACCTCCACGGTTAGAGCCCCAGGATGGGATGCCTTCGCTATAGGACCCCCTCCCCCCCGTGAGTGACGTACGTCATCATGGACGAGCACATCCAGCAGCCCTGGCCTGCCAACCCCGATCCAGATGCCTGTCTGTCCTGATCAGTAATCAAATAAGAATGTTTATGCTGGGCAACGCCGCACCCTGGTGATGAAATTCAGATTGTTTGTAATTAACAGAAGCCCATGCAAACCTCACACAGGCTTGTGAAAGCACTAAAAAAGCATTTACTCACAGGACGGTGCAATGGTGGGGGATAAAGTTCACCCCTAGTGCTGTAAGATTTATGGGGGGGACACAAAATTGGGACGTAACCAAGGAGTGATTGTGACAAGGCGTCTGTGTTGTGGGGGGGGGGGGGGTGGCGGGCGGTGCTCCTTTCTGCAGCATTGGGTTCGAACCCGGAGCAGTGGTACTGGCAAGGGGGGGTGAGCCGGCGATGTGTCACAGGTGCCGCCGCGGCGTGAGTAATTAAAAACCGTAAACGCCATAAAGATAATTAGAAAAGGCGACGAGAGTGCGGTGGGGGGGGGTCCTCACGCCCAGCAAATGTGTTTCCAATATGCGTTCCGGAGAAGGTACAGCCGGGACACCCCGTGTGTGAAGCAGAGGATGTATTTCTGGCCACGCTGAGGACGCAGAGCTGCGGTTCAACTTTTTACTCTAATTATTTTCCAGCTAATGCCCACGGCGTGCTGGAATCAAAGGGCCCCCCCCAGGACCCCAGAGGCCTCTGATGTGGCTGCCGTTTGTTGTGTGCTGAGGATTGGGTTTGGAGAGAAGCTGGGGCGTGGGGGGGGGGGGTGGTGGTGAAAATTGTGACAGAATTTTTTTTCCCCAGAAACTTCCCCATTGCCACCCACCTCACTTGTTGCTTACAAAAATAGAGTAATTGTTTTCGTCTGTGTGTTTTTTTGTCTTGTTTAGGAACTGTTATAAATCAGTATGTCACTGGCAGAAAGGACTGATGTCCATCCAGTATTTTCGGTCTTCAGTTTGTCCAGGCTTTTATTCCAGACACTTTCTTACACAATGCGCAGCATTCATGACCCGTCATTGATTTTACAAGCCTTTTTACGATGCCCATATAGAGCAAAATACTTCCATATTTTTATCGGTTTTCTTTAGCGGTGTGGCTCGCCATATGAATCGTAAAGGAGTCTTTTCAGTTGCATGCTTGTGTGCGCTTGCGTTGCCGTGTAAGTGTGCTGCCCATAATGGCGGCCTGGTCCAGGAAGTCGAGATCTGATCGTCTTCCGTCCTCTCGGCAAACCCAGATGGCCCGTACAGCACGGCCTCCGTGTTTGTTTCGCTTCTCCCAGCCACGTAATTGTCCATTAATATTTTAGGCCTTGTAAAATCCTCCTTGCCTTCCGGATGTGATGATGTCGCACCCTCCCCTCCCCTTCCTTGTAAAGAAATTTATTTGCTTGCTTTTTTAGGATATGACCCCCTCCCTCGTCCCCCCTCCCGCCCCCCCCCCCCCCGCGCCCCCCCCCCCCCCCCACCCCCCCGCAAGAAGTGTGCGCTTTCCAGATCCATTGAGTTCAGGTTAATAAAACGTGTGAATGGAAAGCTCGCATCTGCGGAAAGGAGATGCACTGTAAGTGGAGCCGCACTGCGCCGCCTTCCCCGGAGCTGAAATAGCAGATGTGAGCCAGTCGGACTGCTTCTGCTGAGCCTGACGTGACGCTCCTAATGACCGCTGTAAACCGGAGCGGCCCTGCGCAAATTAAGATGGACGCCCGCTTGTAAAAGTCACAGGCGCCGCATCACGGCAAGATTTATGTGGCCTGGTAGCCGGCACTCGTTGATAAAAGGATAGGACGCGTCTCGGATGGATGGATCCAGCAGGTGTGCCGTCGTCCCCGGTAACGCTGCTGCCAGTAATTAAAGAAGGGCGTAGGCTTCGCAGTGCTGCTGCAGTCCGGCCGTGCGGAGAGATCCGACGCGCTCCACCCGACAGGCCTGACCTTTACAGGAAAAGGTTGCAGCCATTCCTAACATGTCGCTGCCGCCACTACATTGTGCCGGCTCCATCTCCTCCCCCCCCCCAACCAATAATTGAATGATTTGTCTCTGTGACCGGCCTGCTCCAGCGTCCCGCCAAAGGCCAATCGGATTAATCGTAATTGATACATTAAATCTAATGCGATCAGGGCAGCCGACGCGAAAGGCCCGGGGACGGTGCCCGGTTGCACCTTAACATGTGCAAGTCTGACATTCAGACGTGATTCGTAATGATAATCGTAATTTACCGAAGCTTTCAGCTCCTCGCTTTTGTTTTCCGGCGTGAGGAAATCGTATTAAGGCTGACCTCGTATTACTTCCATTAGTATAGGGTCATTTATTAAAATCCGTAATTCAAAGAAGAAAAAAAAAAATAACTTGCAGTTATCGTCTAAGAGAGTGCGTTTTTATCCTCGCGAATACATCTTGGGCATGTCGTCCTCTTTTCTTTATGTGTGTATTTGCACTAAAAAGGTTTAAATTCGATTGATCGGACTGTAAAATCATGGATTGTGTTTAAAGACCGGGTGTCCACGGGGCGGCGGACGGCTGGGAGCGCAGCGCTGTCGCACGCCAGAGGTCGGTGCCGCGTGGCAGGAAGCGCTAAAGCAGACGCTCCCATGTCTGTCCTGGAGCGGCACCGTCATGGCAGCCCTGCCGTTACCGCGCCGACAGGATCACAGACCCCAGTCGGGGTGGCTCACGTGCACACCGCGTGGCGTTGCGCCTCCTGCTGGCCGACCCTGACCTGGCAGCCACAGACTGGACCTCTGGCTCGTCACGCCGTGTCTGACAGCCAAGCACCTCAGAATTTGCGAAGGGAGGGAGTGCAGCAGCCTTTGGGCGTCTTAGGGCGTCATGATTGGGCCTCCTGGTGGGGGGGGGGGGTCTCACTCAGGGACCTGGGCCAGCAGTCACAGCCTGGCACCGGCTCACACAGTCTTAATGGAGCAGGCCTGCCCAGCGTGTTTCGAGGGCAGGCGCTGGGTATTCTAAGTGCCCATGAAATGAATGAAGTAAGCAGCTGCGTTGTTTATTGGGCAGTGAAGGCCGGCCTCTCGAGGCGACTCGACAGTGGGCAGACTGTGACCCTGGCAACTGTCGCCATGCCGACACTGACTTTGTTTGGCATGTGCCTGGGATTCTTTGCCATAACATGTGTGATCTACTTTAAAAAACAAAAAAAAACAAAAAGCCCTGCACCGTTCAGGCAGATAGAATGTATTCTGACTGAAATAGTGCAGAAAAACAGGATGAGTAAGGACTCATGTGGCTTATGGCGGGGGGGGGGGGGGGGGGGGGGTGTG